GCACTGAAGTCCACCAGTCTTAAAGTTGCCCCGTTTGAAGACCCCTGGGGTAGAGAATATATGAAGCAGGACGAGACTTTGCGGAAGATCTTAACTCTCTTCCTGTTAACACTTGAAATACAATCTACACCCTTATTTTGCAGGAAGGTGATGCCTTGAAGGGAAGGATCGACAAGGTTGACAAGGAATCAGAAGCATGAGGAAGATCACTTGGATCCACAGCAAATCCCCAGATCTTCTCCCACCACATGTTCACTGAAGGTACCCCTGAGCCTCAGTTTAGGGAGGGCTTAATCTGAGATTGTTGGCTTCACGGGTTAACTTGGCTTCTGTCTAGTCCTGCCTAACCATGGCTTGCCAAACTCTTCAGCTGATCAGCAGTTTTTCGTGTCTATATTTTTAGCTGAGGGTCGAATACGTCTTCCGTGATGTGCCACGTAGATGCTGCCCAGGGTGCAGGATTTCTCAACCTTTGGCCCCTTTCAGATAGGTGGACTTCAGCTCCCAGAATTCCCCAGCCAGTAAGCACATCTGTGGTCCCACGATTTCCCACTTGGCCACCACTTTTCTTAGTGGCAGAGTTGCCAATCCCAAATTATAGTTGTTAAGCCAGGAGGGTTACCTATCGTTGAAATGAACTGTCCCACCTGATAAGAGAAGAATGTGTGCAGCTCAGGGTTGGAGCTGGATTGTTTTGCACTGATGTTGTTACCTAATTCGGGTAATGAAACACCTGCAAGGAAACAACCACATTCAGAGAACCCCCCAAGAGCCTTTCCCTTCTCTCAGAGCCTGGGAGAACCCACCACCTCGGTGGATTGTGGCCTTTCAGCCGCTGTCAGGCCCCACGAACGACCCACGGAGTTCCTGGCGAGTCGTTTCCTTGGCTGCCCCTCACCTGTAGACGGAATCTTGCCAAACTAAAGCAAGCATTTGCGTCACTCTAGATCAGGGGTCGTGGGAATTCCGGGAGTTGAAGCCCACAAATCTTAAAAAGTTTGTCATGTTCGGAGACCCCTGCCCTAAATAGACTCTGGGGATCACTAGGGAGGAGACCTCTTCACCAGGGGTGGCCTTCAAAAACTTTAGCAACGGGGCCTTTGCTCGGTTACTGGGTGGGCGTGGCCTAGTCGGCCTCCTGCACCACAGTGAGAGGGGGGCGTTTTTGCCATCCCTGAACTCTGGAGGCTTTGCTCAGGCCTCCGGGAGGGTGAAAATAGCCCCCCTGGGCTCCAGAGGCTCTCTGGAAGCTGGAAACGGGCCCAGAAGGCTGTTTTTTGCCGTCCTCAAGCCTCCATGCACGCCCTGCGCTTACCTGCATCCAAAACGGGCCGCTTGGGGACTCCGGGAGGGGTGGGTTGGGGTGGGTGGCTGAGGCCAGCCAGGAGTGGTGTTGGGAGGTTCTTCGAACTGCGCAGAATCTTAGGGGCTCTCGCGAACCCCCCCAGCAGCCCAGCCCTGCTCTTAACCCTCGTCCTGCCCACTGGGCATTCCAGGTTCCGCGGCCTCTTTGCCCTCTGGGGTACAGCCCCCACCCTCCCGCCTCCTCTAGGAACCCCCGGCTACATTCCACCATCCCGGTCTCCCTCAATCTGGGGGGACCTGGGTAAGTTGGGAAGCTCACCCCCCGCCCCACTCTGCCCCCTGCTTGCTCCTCTGCAGGGCGCCCCCCAGCCATGGAGGACAAGCGCAACATCCCGATCATCGAGTGGGAACACCTGGACAAGAAGAAGTTCTACGTCTTCGGGGTGTGCATGACCATGATGATCCGCATCAGCGTCTACCCGTTCACCCTGATACGGACGCGGCTGCAGGTCCAGAGGGGGAGGAGCCTCTACAACGGCACCTTCGACGCCTTCGTCAAGATCCTGAGGGCCGAAGGGGCGGCCGGGCTGTACCGGGGCTTCCTGGTCAACACCTTCACCCTCATCTCCGGCCAGTGCTACGTGACCACCTACGAGCTCACCCGCAAGTACGTCTCGCAGTACAGCAGCAGCAACACCATCAAGTCGCTGGTGGCCGGCGGCTCGGCCTCCCTGGTGGCCCAGAGCATCACGGTGCCCATCGACGTGATCTCCCAGCACCTGATGATGCAGCGCCTGGGCGCCAGCATGGGCCGCTTCCGCGTGCAGCCCCACCAGGGCAAGCGGTTCCCCGTCTTCGGCCAGACCCGGGACGTCATCGCCCAGATCTTCAAGGCCGACGGGCTGAGGGGCTTCTACAGGGGCTACGTGGCCTCCCTCCTGACGTACATTCCCAACAGCGCTGTCTGGTGGCCCTTCTACCACTTCTACGCAGGTAAGTAGGCGGGTTTTCGGCAGGCGCTCCGCGGCCCAGGCTGGGCAGCCTCATCAGCACCAGAAGGGAGCCAGATGTGTAGAGTGGAGGTGGAGGAGGGGGCGGCTGTGCAGCGCTCTCTGAGCTTGGATGTTTCGTGGCCCAACTAGGGAACCTCGCCAGCGCTAGAAGGGGACGGTTATGGGAGGAGGAGGAGGAGGAGCACTGTGGGGCCCTCTGAGCTTGGTTGTTTTCTTGCAGACATTTTATGACCCAAACTAGATGACATCATCATGCTAGATTTACAGGGGTCCCCAAACTTGACGAGTTATAGACTTGTGGACTTCAACTCCCAGAA